CACACTACCACGCCCAGCTTATTTTTCAACTTATTGTAGAGACGAGGTCTCACCAAATTGCCCAGGCTGGTCTTGAACCCCCGAGCTCAGGCAATCCTCTCGCCTTGGCCTCCCAAAGCGCTGAGATTACAGGCTTGAGCCACCAGGTTTGGTCAAAAAAATTTCTTATGACATTTGAGACAACATAAAATGACAGAATATTTGAACTTTTTTTTTTTTTTTTTTTAGTTGGAATCTCACTCTGTCGTCCAGACTGGAGTGCAGTGGCCGCTCCCAGCCACTGCAGCCTCGACCTGCTGGGTTCTGGTGATCCTTCCGCCTCAGCCTTCCAAGTAGCTGGAACTACAGGCATGCGCTACCACGCCCGGCTGATTTTTGATTTATTGTAGAGATGACGTCTTGCCAAGTTGCCCAGGTGGGTCTCGAACCCGTGGGCTCAAGCAATCCACTCACCTCAGCCTCCCAAAGCGTGAGATTACAGGCTGAGCCACCGAGCCTGGCGAATATTTGAACTTTTTAAATGATATTTGAGAAAACATAAAGTGACAGAATATTTGAATTATCAGTATCACTAAGGGCATACAGACAGAAAGGATTAGAAAACCTATTTAATGAAGTAACAGATGAAAACTTCTCAAGTCTGGTAAGAGATTTAGACATTCAGATACAGAAAGCTCAACAATCTCCAATACAATGCAAAAATATCTTCTATGTTTCATATTATATTCAGACTGTCTAAAGTCAAAGATAAAAACAGCAAGAGAAAACCTTCTAGTTACCTATAAAGAAAACCCCATCGGACTAAAAGTCAAGAGGACAAACAGAAACAAGCCCAAAGAAGATCCAATTACTGGAGTTTAAACACTGTCTTTAAAAATCTATAAGTGAGGCCGGGCAAAGTGGCTCACATCTGTAATCCCAGCACTTTGGGCAGAGGCAAGAGGATTGTCTGATCTTAGGGGTTCAAGACCAGCCTGGGCAACATGGTGAGACCTCGTCTCTACAATAAATCACAAAATCAGCTGGGCATGGTGGCATGCACCTGTGGTTCCAGCTACTTGGACAGCTGACGCAAGATTGCCTGAGGGCAGCGTAGCCATAAACGTGCCACTGTACTCCAGCCTGGATGACAGAGTGAGATTCTGATTTAAAAAAAAAAACAAGTCTACAATTGCTGGGCAGGGTGAATGGCTCACACCTTTAATCTCAGCACTTTGTTGCTGTATCTTTTTTGAGTCAGGCATGAGCCACCACGCCCAGTGGCCAATCCCAGGACTTTGAGAGGCAGAGGAAAGAGGACTGCCTGAGTTCAGGGGTTGGAGATTAGCCTGGGCAACTTGGCGAGACCTCATCTCTACAATAAATCAAAAAATTATACGGGCTTGGTGGTGTGCACCTGTGGTTCCAGCTACTTGGAAGGCTGAGGCGGAAGGATTGCCTGAGCCCAGCAGGTTGATGCTGGGGTGGCTGTGAGTGTGCCATTGCACTCCAGCCCAGGCAACAGAGTGATTCCAACTCAAACAAACAAAAAGAATTCCATGGATGTTTTTAACAATTAGACAATGCTAAAGAGATAATTAGAATTAGAATTTAGGTCAGATGAAAATATCTAAACTGAAGCACAAAACATTTCAAAGAATAAACATACAGAAAAGCACATGGGAAACATATGAGATACAATGCAAAGGTCAAATAAATTTGCTATTTGAGCCCAAGGTGGAGAGAATAGGGAGAATGAAGGAAAAGCACTACTGGAAGAGATAATGGTCAAGGATTATCCCTAAGAAGAGATAAAAAACACAAACCAACATATATCTTTCTTGGTTGAGCAGTATTCTCGCCTGAGGGAAACTTTACCATCAAGGGTACATTTGGTAATTTCTGGAGACATTTTTGGTTGTCACAAATAGGGAAAGGGAGTGCATCTAGCAGGTAGAGGCTATTAATTTTGCCAACCACCCTCCAGTGTACACAACAGTCCTCACAAAAAGAAATTTATGTGGTCAAAAATGTCAACAGTGTCAAGTTTAGAAAATCCTGCCTAAAAGTCTTTTCATTTGCTGTTCCTTTAACCACAAATTGCTTTTCCTCTAGTTTTTTCAAAAAGCAGCTTCTTTTTTCACCCTTCAGGAATTAGTTCAACTCTAACCTTTTTAGAGAGCCCTTCCTCCGAACACCCTATCTAATGTAGCCCACCCCCCCAGTTACCATCATACTACTGTTGCCTTTATAGCTCTTGTCACCATCTCAGTATCTTGGTAAATGTCTCTGTTCTACCACTGAAAAGGAACCTTGTCTGTCTTCTTCATCTGTATATTAAGCAAGCAGAACAGAACCTGGTACATAATAAGCTATCAATAAATATTGTTAAAGGCATAAGTCAATTATAAAATAACAAAACAAAAACCTCTCCCAAGAACAGTAGACTATAAAATACTACAATTACTGATTAATCAAAACAGTAAAGCTATTTTAAGAAATTATTACTAAGGCCGCACATGGTGGCTCACGCTTGTAATCCCAGCACTTTGCGAGGCAGAGACGAGAGGACTACCTGAGCACAGGGGTTCAAAACCAGCCCAGGCAACTTGGCGAGACTCCACCTCTACAATAAATAAAAAAATTAGTAGTTCAAGCTACTTGGAAGGCTGAGGATCGCCTAGGTCAGCAGGTAAAGGCTGCAGTGGCCATGAGTGTGTGTCACTGCACTCCAGCCTGGGCAAGAGTGAGACTCCAACTGGAAAAAGGGAAAAAAAAAAAAAAAGGCTGAGCGCAGTGGCACACGCCTATAATCCCAGCACTTTGGGAGGCCGAGGTGAGAGGATTGCCAGAAACCACAGGTTGGAGACCAGCCTGGGCAATACAATTAAAAAAAAAAATTAGCCACGTATGGTGGCACGCACCTGTAGTTCCAGCTACTTGGAAGGCTGAGGTGGAAGGATCGCCTGAGCACAGCACATCAAGACTGCGGTAGCCATGAGCATGCCACTGCACTCCAGCCTGGGCAACAGAGTGAAACTCTGACCCAAAAAAAAAAAAAAAAAGAAATTATTACCAGAAAGATGAAATGTAAAATAAAGAATAGAACAAAGAGGCCAAGTGTGGTGGCTCATATCTATGATTCCAGCACCTTTGGAAGTGGAGGTGAGAGGATTGCCTGAGCTCAGGAGTTCAGGACCAGCCCGGGCAACATGGCGAGACTGCATCTCTACAATAAATAAAAAAATTAGCCGGGTGTGGTAGCGTGTGCCTGTAGTTCTAGCTACTTGGAAGGTTGAGGCGGAAGGATCACCTGAGAGCCCAACAGGTCGAGGCTGAGGTGGCCATGAGCATGCCACTGCACTTCAGCCTGGGAGACAGAATGAGACTGACTCAAAAAATAAAAATAAAATAAATAAATAAACCAGGAATTTCATTGGCTCCTTTCTTTTACTTTCTTCATGAAGAGTTGAGACACAAGTCTTAACAATGGGTTTGCTCCTTCTTCTTGATGAAATATGAATAATATATATTAAGGCTCTCTACATCTTCCGGAAACCATATCATACATAAGCAAGCACCTAAAGCCCATATTCCCTCTTCAGTCTGGAAACTGCCTCTTTAGTCCATCTTTTTCTTTTTCTTTTTTTTTGAGTTGGAGTCTCACTCTGTCGCCCAGACTGGAGTGCAGTGGCCGCTCCCGGCCACCACAGCCTCGACCTGCTGGGCTCCGGCGATCCTTCTACCTCAGCCTTCCAAGTAGCCGGAATTACAGGCATGAGCTACCACACCCGGCTGATTTTTTGATTTACTGTAGAGATGAGGTCTCGCCTGCTCAGGCGGGTCTTGAACCCATGGGCTCAGGCAATCCACTCACCTCAGCCTCCCAAAGGCGCGGGATTACAGGCTGAGCCACCGAGCCCGGCTAGTCCATCTTTTTCTACACTTGTTCCAGAATTACTGTAAAAGCCAAAAAGTTTAAGTTTCTAAGCCTAAATACACACACACATTATATCACACATAACAAATAAATATACACATACACACACACAGACACACACGAGGGGGAACAAAAAAACACAGAATTATCTTTTTGAGAGTGGATCCCTTGTAGTACAGGCTTCCCTGAAAGTTACATAAGCATTCTAATAATCCATTGACATCAGTGTACCAGCTAGTGTTGTGGTGAAAGATTGTGTTCAGCTTCAGTGCATTTATTTTGGAGATGATTTCAAGGAACAATGGGTGATATATAAGTGTCCCTGTTCACACTACACTGAGTATTCAGCAGTTTTTGACCAAAAATGGAGCCGGGCACTGTGGCTCACACCTGTAATCCCAGCACTTTGGGAGGTGGAGGCGAGAGGGCTGCCTAAGTCCAGGGGTTCAAAATACTCCTCTGGGCACTTTGGTGAGACTGCATCTCTACAATAAATCAAAAAATTAGCCAGGTGTGGTGGCACAAACCTGTAGTTCCAGCACTTGGAAGACTAAAGTGGAAGAATTGCCCAAGCCTAGTAGGTTGAGGCTGCAATGGCCGTGAGTGTGCCACTGCCTTCCAGCCTGAGCCACAGAGTGGGATTCCGACTCAAAAACAAAAAAAGAAAAAAGTGAGCATGAAACCCCCATCCCCTTCCCTCCCTATCACTAGATCTCACCCAGAATGACTTTTGTTTTATTCCCTGATGAAAAAAATCCTCAAAGGAAAATGTTTTGCTGACGTGCTAGAGTTGAAACCAAACAATGGCAGATGCACTAAAAGGTATCAAAATCAATGAGTTCAAAAACTGTTTTGAGCATGGACAAAGTGTCTTGATAAGTGTACTTCATCAAATGGAGAATACTTTGAAGGTGACTGAAGTTTAAACATGAAAGAATAAATACACAATTTTTAGTACATAAATTCCATTTTGGGGGGAGTCCCCCTGGTACACATACACATATATAGACAGTAAAACTAAGTTTGTTTAAATGCTATGAAAAAATCTTATTTCTAGAGAGTATTACGAAACTGTTCTTACCTCTCTCTTTCTTCTTTCTTCCTGAGTACGATGTAAAAGAGAAGCCTTTTCTTCCTAAATCCAAACAGAGAAAAAAAGTAAAGAAGGCTGTAATTTCAATTTTAAAATTCTCACACAAAAATCATAAACATTGCTGGGCACAGTGGCTCACGCCTGTAATCCCAGCACTTTGGGAGACTGAGGCGAGAGGGATTACCTGAGCCCACAAGGCAACATGGCAAGACCTCGTTTCTACAATAAATTAAAAAAAATTAGGCCAGGCTCCGTGGCTCAGCCTGTAATCCCGCACTTTGGGAAGCTGAGGTGAGTGAACTGCCTGAGCCCACGGGTTCAAGACCCACCTGGGCAACTTGGCGAGACCTCATCTCTACAATAAATAAAAAAAAATTAGCCGGGTGTGGTAGAGTGAGCCTACTGTAGTTCCGGCTACTTGGAAGGCTGAGGCAGAAGGATCGCTGCAGCCCAGCAGGTCGAGGTTGGGGTGGCCGGGAGCATGCCACTGTACTCCTCCAGTCTGGGCAACAGAGTGAGACTCCAACTCAAAAAAAAAAAATTAACTGGGCTTAGTGATGCACTCCTGTAGTTCCAGCAACTTGGAAGGCTGAGGCGGAAGGATCACCTGAGACCAGCAGGTCAAGGCTGTAGTGGCCGTGAGTGTGCCATTGTACTCCAGTCTGGGCAACACTGAGACTCCAACTCAAAGATAGATAGATAGATAGATAGATAGATAGATAGATAGATAGATAGATAGATAGATAGATAGACAGACAGCATTTTCTTTCCTTTTTTTAAACAGAAATTATATAATATTTTCAACCCAAAAATGATACTAAAGATCATTCAAACTGTATGACTTAATCAGATGAGAAATCTGAGGCACAAGAAGTTAAATGGTTTTCCTGAGGTCATAGATCTAAATAAAATTAGTACTTCAATAGTTTTCTATTTGATTTTTTTACATATGCAAGTGAGTACAAATAAAATTAGAGAAACTTGAATAAGATTGGTGCCCTATATCAATGTCAATGTTCTGATTGTGACATCATACTACAGTTTTATTAGATATTACCCCTGGGAAATTGAACACCTGCACCTGCATGTTTATAGCAGCACAATTCAAAAGTGCAAAGATATGGAATCAAACCATATGCCCATCAACCAATCAGTGGATGATGGAAATGTGGTGCATATAAACCATGGAATACTATGCAGCCATAAAAAAGAATGAAATAATGTCCTTTACAGTAATATGGATGGAGCCAAAGATCATCATCCTAAATAAACTGACTCAGGAACAGAAAACCAAACACCACATGTTTTCCTTCATATATGGGAGCTAAAGAGGGAAATAATAGACACTGGGGACACCACTAAGGGTTACGATTCAGAAACTACCAACAGGGCACAATGTTCACTATTTGCAGAATGGGCCACTTGAGACCCAATCCCCACCAGTACACAATATGTCCATGTAGCAAACATGCATATGTACCTCTTGAATCTAAAAAAAAAGACACGATCTACTGATGCATGCCAGAATTCGTGAGCAAAAGTTAGAAAAGAAACAGGATTTGCCTGGTCTCAAGTATCTCCTTCAAGATGTACATCAATAGCCGGGCTCGGTGGCTCAGCCTGTAATCCCAGCACTTTGGGAGGCTGAGGTGAGTGGATTGCCTGAGCCCACGGGTTCGAGACCCGCCTGGGCAACTTGGTGAGACCTCATCTCTACAATAAAATAAAAAATTAGCTGGGCATGGTAGTGCGCGCCTGTAGTTCCAGCTACTTGGAAGGCTGAAGTGGAGGGATCGCCGGTGCCCAGCAGGTCGAGGCTGCGGTGACCGGGAGTGGCCACTGCACTCCAGTCTGGGCGACAAAGTGAAACTCCAACTCAAAAAAAAACCAAAAACAAAAAAAGATGTACATCAATTATCAAATGAAAAACAGTAAATTTACAGGGGAAAACTGCAGACACCAACAAAGTGATTAAGTATCACCAGTTATAAAACATAAGGACATCATGAACCACTACTTGATATAATATAAAGAATAATAGCTATTGCACCAGTCTTTCCAAATAGACTCTTTTTAACTTAAATATATTTATTTCAAGGGGAAGTCTTTTCATCTGCCGTAAATAGAAGGTATCCCTAAAAACAAATACAATTTTTAAAAATGCATATTACATCTTAAATTTAAAAATAAACACTGAATTACATAAAAATCTAATAAATGTATGAAATGCTCCATCTGAAACTAGATTTTATAATCACAATAAAGAAATATGAGGTGCTGTGCTAGAAGGTGAGGCTCTATTAGACAATCTTATTTTAAATTTTTATGTTAACAGAGAATTCTAATTCATGTGTTTATAATTAGACTAAGCCGGCAAATGGCATTTAATTGCTTCCTCTGACAGAATTGGCTTCTGAAAAGAAATTCCTAAACAAAATACCATTTTGGTTTAACAAACTTTTGTTTCAAGAACTTTCCAAGCCGGGCTCGGTGGCTCAGCCTGTAATCCCGTGCCTTTGGGAGGCTGAGGTGAGTGGATTGCCTGAGCCCGCGGGTTCGAGACCCGCCTGGGCAGCGAGACCTCATCTCTACAATAAATCAAAATATCAGCCGGCCGTGGTAGCGCATGCCTGTAATTCCGGTTACTTGGAAGGCTGAGGTGGAAGGATCGCCGGAGCCCAGCAAGTGAGGCTGCGGTGGCCGGGAGCGGCCACTGCACTCCAGTCTGGGCGACAGAGTGAGACTCCAACTCAAAAAAAAAACAAACTTTCCAAGGCGTGGTAGCTCAAGTCTGTAATCCCAGCACTTTGGGAGGCCTAGGTGAGAGGACTGCCTGAGCCCACGTTCAAGACCAGCCTGGGCAAGTTGGTGAGACCTCATCTCTACAATAAACCAAAAAATTAGCTGGGCGTGGTGGCATGTGCCTGTAGTTCCAGTTATTGGGAAGGCTGAGGCAGAAGGATCACCTAAGCCTAGCAGGTCAAGGTTGTGGTAGCTAGGAGCATGCTACTACACCCAGCCAGAGTGAGGTTCTTCTGAATGTGTCATTTTATATAATAATATTTGCAGAGCTATAAAACGAGGTCAGGAGAAGCTGTCTTTATTTATTCACCACTACCACCTGGTTAAGGAAGACACTCATGGAAACCTTTACTACTAACTGTAAATGTAATATTCAAATACGCTTTTCAAGTTTCTCACAATTCTCTTCCCCATAATCAGGGTATGTACCCCATGGTAAAAGTTTTATTCCACAAAGAGTTGACAGTCTTCTCGAAATAGTAGGCAAGGAGAGACTAAGCTGCAAGCTTTCAGTATGAGGGAGAAGCGGGTGTTCTGATAGTGCCCATGACTTCACAAGGCTAGAGAATTAAGTCACCTGTCTTCAGTAAGAGTGATGATTTGACAGTCTATTGGATAATACTCTGAAATATCCCTTCATGCACAAGAGTAATAGGTTTGTCGTTTGGATATCAAAAGGGAGCAGATTTTGTTTTTGGTAAAGTTTCTGGTACTGGAATATACTACACAAAATCCTTGTATCAAACCAACACATGCACCATCTCTGCTTTCCTATTACATCACACTTGGAGTCTGTTATTGTTTGTTATGAAAGCAAAAGATTTTAAAGGATTTCCTCTAATTTATGAGCTAAAAAAATGTCTTCACAGACTTGTCTATTCACCTCATGGCTGACAAACAGCAAAGGATTAGTTCAGTTCAGAGTATCGGGCTCACCAGTTTGCGGCAAACAGGACTGAGTTTGTCTTCCTCGGGAAAATAACAGCTGCTGGGTACATTTGTCCCTACTTATAAATGGACAATGAACTAACTCACTGGACAAAGGAATCTTATCAATTATTGTATGTGCTCTGTCACTAATGATTACTTCTAATCATAACTCTGGCAGCATGCTTCCTATTTGGCCAATTAGCAGCTCTAGCCTTTGCAATTAACTACAATGCCACAGATGCAGTGTTCTCGGCATCTGTATAATAACTCTCCTGACATTGTGCACTTTCAGGATGCTTCCTGTTTGGTCCCAAAAGTTTAACAGAGGTTTTGGGTGGTGTGCCTTGGTTGCAAAATAATGCTCGAGTGGATGGTTTCACACTGGAATCTGACACATAATGGAATAGATTCATTGTCTCAGGCAATCCATGAAAAACAAAATTTCCAAAATCATCATCATGTTTGTTTGATTTGTGTTATTGCCGTTGGCAGGCTTACAAAACTAAAAGCAGATTCCAGTGAGTGATTAACGAGGTCTTTATTATATATGAAGACACATGATGACAATCCTAATTAGTGTCTTCATTTATAAGACAATCTTCACCTTTAGACTGTAAAAATAGTATTTTTTCCTTTAACATCTAACCCATGTCAGGTTCAGTGGTCAAAGGGAAAATATAAAGGTATAGGCATGATCCAAATGTACAATTATGATTATCTACATATGATTCTCACTAGTAAATAACTGTCAACTTCTGAAAGTAAAATCTCACCATGCTGTTAAAAATAAACAAATAAACTTACAACAAAGAAATTCAGTATGAGACCCCATCTCTACAATAAATTTTATTTTATTTTATTTTTTTAGTTGAAGTCTCACTCTGTTGCCCAGACTGGAGTGCAGTGGCTGCTCCCGGCCACCGCAGCCTCGACCTGCTGGGCTCCGGCGATCCTTCCGACTCAGCCTTCCAAGTAGCCGGAATTACAGGCACGCGCTACCATGCCCGGCTGATTTTTTGATTTATTGTAGAGATGAGGTCTCGCTGCCCAGGCGGGTCTCAAACCCGCGGGCTCAGGCAATCCACTCACCTCAGCGAAT